CTCTCAAGTTTACAATTGGTGTTCATTAGCTAGGAGTAACATTAGGAAACGAGTCTCTTGGGCTGATTTTACGTTATCTAATTCTGAGAGCCCTTCTACTGAGGGGGAGGAGATACCTAGTACATCAGCAGAGCAGCCTAGTAATGATCAGAGTAATACTAAACGTAATTTTAAAAAGCGAGGCAGAGATACACCTTTGGATTTTCATCCCCGCAGAGGACGCAGGAGGACCTAGTGATAAATCTTTCCTCCCGCTCCTTATCACCAATAGACTTGGCAGTCCTAAACAAAGGTTTGGGCTTTGTCCCAGTTCCCTCTTATAATGATTTTCAGACACTGGTAGATGTGTTTCAGTTAATTAGGATGTTAAAGTTAAAATTAGTGATAAATCTTTCCTCCCGCTCCTTATCACCAATAGACTTGGCAGTCCTAAACAAAGGTTTGGGCTTTGTCCCAGTTCCCTCTTATAATGATTTTCAGACACTGGTAGATGTGTTTCAGTTAATTAGGATGTTAAAGTTAAAATGCATGTTTGGCACTGATTCAGGTAGCTTTAATAAATTCAGACCTAAATCTTCCTTTGTACCTAATGTGTCGGAACTCACTGTTACTACTTTTGAGAAGGTGGTCCTTAGGGACATTGCAGCCCTGGAGAACAGAAGTAAACACTGGAGAAAATACAATTTAACCAAAGAGGAAATGACTGCCTTATCTAATCTAACATAAGACCTAGAAATTACTATAAAACCTGCTGATAAGGGGGGAGGAATTGTAGTCATGAATACGTCAGATTATATTCAAGAAATCAACAGACAACTAAAGGATAGATCCTTTTATTTACTTAGTATGTCGGATCCTACTAAACACATCATGAATATTATCAATGTTTATTATCAATTGTTTATTATCAAATGTTTTCCTAGCTACATTTGATGTTTCCTCACTTTACACTAATGTACCTCTTGATGAAGCACGTTTGATTTTGGAAAATTACCTAGTACTGTAGTATTCTATATGTACTGCTTAGCTTTATATTGTATATTATAGTGTTATGGTTGTAATTTTGTTGATAATTGAATTCTAAAACATTGCAGATAAAAATCAACTTATATTGTTTATTTGTACACGGTGATTTACTGTTTTACTGGTTACATTACACCGTGGTCCTGTTTGTTGTAATAGTTTCAAAGATCCAGCAAGATCAGACTAGCCTGAGCTATGCAGGTCAGGGCTCAACATCCATCCACGCGCATTTATAGGAGGACTGTTCACTGGAGACAAGATTCCTTGCTTCTCCAGCTGGACATGTTGGGCTGAAACCTGGTCATTTTTCTCTTGATCTTCCCAAGTTCTTCTCACTGCAGTCCCTGCCTGACATAACTTTTGTTCACAAGGGTTCAGTGGTGGTCAACATGTAGTCTCATTTTTCCAGGGGAAAAAGCTAGCAAGATGGGATCTTTAAGTTTCTGATGACTCTGGAGGAAGAGTTAAAGGTAAAGGTAAAGGTTCCCTTGCTCAAAAGCCAGTCAAATCTGACTCTAGGGTTGCAGTGCTCATCTCCATTTCAAAGCCGAAGAGCCAGCGCTGTCCGAAGACATTTCCGTGGTCATGTGGCCAGCATGACTAAACTCCAAGGTGCACGAAATGCTTTTACCTTCCCACCAAAGTGGTACCTATTTATCTACTTGCAATGTCTTGCTTTCGAACTGCTAGGTTGGCAGGAGCTGGAACTAGAGACGGGAGCTCACTCCGTCATGTGGCACACTCGGGTCTCGATCTGCTGAACTACCGACCTTCCACAGCCTGCAGTTCAGCGTCTTAACCACTTGAGCCACCACGGCTCCTTAGGAGGAAGAGTTACACCATGAATAATGAGAGCTGTAGAATATTTCACTGTATTTCTGTGTCAAAAATCAAAAGGGTAGCCAGCTTGGTACAGAGGTTCGAGTGCTAGACTAGGAACTGGGTGGGCCAGGTTCTAATCTCCACTCTGCCATGGAAGCTCATTGGATGACCTTGGGACAGTCACTGTTTCTCTGTGAGAAGGCAGACTATAAATAAATAAATAAGATAAATAAAATAAAGTTAAACTGGTAAGTAAGGGCACTCAGAAGCATGCAGTAAACATTTGAGAGTAAGATTAGGTTACCAATGCTTGTGCTTTTGCTCAGGACAGTATTTGGGGGGCTGAAGGAAAAGAATTCAGACAATATCCCTAAGAAATGCAAGAACATCATTATGCTGAAATGATTAAGATCTCCAAAATGGTTAGTATTGTGGCAGTTAGTATTCCCATGTTATTCTGTCTACAGCATGTTATTCTGTCTACAGCATGGTGACATACAGAATTCCCATGTTATTCTGTCTACAGCATGGTGACAAAATTCTACCAGCACATCATGGCCTTGGTGTTTGCCATAAACGAGATCAACGCCAATTCCAAGATCTTGCCAAATATCACAGTTGGATTCCACATCTACGACAGTTACCATGACATGAGGATGACCTATCGCACCACCATGGATTTGCTGTATAAGCTGCATAGATATTTTCCAAACTATGAATGTGACACCAGCAAAAACATAGCAGCCATCATTGGGGGATACAGTTCAGCGATGTCCTTCTACATATCAGAAATTCTAAGGGTTTACAAGATTCCACAGGCAAGATTTGTGTATGGAGGAATGAGTGATTTCACAAATGATAAACTATCCTTCCTGTAGTCACCATGTGTTTAAGGAAGAGATTTGAATCAAATCACCATATTCACATTATCGGAGACAATTCAGCCACGACACTTTCCTTCACCACATATTCATGAAATAGAGTTGTGAGACTCTCCTTCTAATTAATCTCTTATTTTCCCTTTTCTCCCACATTTCTTTTTCTATTACATCTCTATCAGTTCTTATATTTCCTTTTCTATTTTAGCTCACATATGGCTCATTTGCCCCAGAGAAGATCACACACCTGTCATCTTCTTTTTACCGAGTGGTTCCAAGTGAAGTTGAGCAGTACATCGGTATTCTTCGGTTACTGCAGCATTTCCAATGGACATGGGTTGGGCTTCTAGCTGTGGATGATGACAGTGGGGAGCATTTTGTGCAGGTCATGGAGCCATTGTTATTTCAAAGTGAAATCTGTTTGGCTTTCGTACAGAGAATCCTAACCAAAGACCACTGGAATGACATGGATGATGTCACTGATTTCATTTTAAGTGCACGCTTAGCTTTTAGAGACAGCAGTGCCAATATATTTATTCTCTATGGGGAATCCACAGTCCTTATATTTCTTAATACCCTGTTATCTCTTGGTGATCCCAGCTATAAGGAAAAGACATCACTTCGGAAAGTGTGGATTATGACAGCCCAAGTTGATTTTGCACTAACTGGCCTTCACAGAGCCTGGGATTTCCAGTTTTTCCATGGGACCATTTCCTTCACAATTCACTCAAATGAGATCCATGGCTTCCAGAACTTTCTTCAAGACAGAAAGCCTCATCAGAAACAAGGAAATGGTTTTCTCAAGGACTTCTGGGAGCAAGCATTTGACTGTTACTATCCGAATCCCCAGGAGACAAGGAACATCAGTGAATTATGTACCGGAGATGAGAGGCTGGAGAGTCTTCCTGGGCCCCTATTCGAAATGCATATGAGTGGTCACAGCTACAGCATCTACAATGCGGTCTATGCCATAGGGCATGCTGTCCATTCTTTGTACTCATCCAGATCCAATCACAGAGCAATGGATGGTGGTCAAAGAGTTAGACCCCAAGATTTCCACCCTTGGCAGGTAATGGCTAACCAGGGACATGTCTGTTGTCATGACTATGTTAATATAAAGCTGCAGTCAGACAAGCAGTTTGATCCCATCTCACTGCTGTTCCCTTCTGGATTTAAAATGCCCAATCAGACAGCAGCATCTTCTTTGACACCAGTCTTTATGGATGTCACCACTTTACTCCACATTTCCAGTTGTCTGAACTCCCCTACTGCAAACTCAATCCGAATGGGAAGTGTGAACCCTCCAGTTTTGCTGGGTTTTTAAAAGTCAGCTAGTGATGTGTACATGAGTGCATAATCACCCCCGGCACTGTCAATCACCACTTGTATGTCCAAGTAGCTAAATAGTCATTCTGGATTGGGAGCCCTTAGGGAGTTGTTTTTGAGTTACAACACCCTCCCCCCCAAACCCCCCCCCATCTCTCCTGTTTTCTGCTTCAAAGTTGCTGTTTGAGAGCATCCCATGATTGACACAAGAGTAAATATCAAAATCAATGGGACTACTCTTGCATAAAATTGCATTCCCCTCATGTATTCCAAGGAAGAGGTGAAGGAAGCTGAGAGGGGCTGCAGTACTTGGCGGAGGGATTGCGGAGCTGTCAAAATGGAGTGGAGCATCGAAATAATGCTTCTGTGCATGCATGAAAGACAATTTTTAAAAAGGATGCTACCTGACAGCCCACTCTGTGGTTACAGCACAGCAATAATCTGAATGGTCTACCACGGAGTGAGAGCACAGTGAAGCTGGTTCAGGGTGGGATGTCTGATCAAAACTCTCTGTTATAAACAAAACAGATAAATTAGAGGTCAGGCTAGAATACTCCAACCCTGTCATCTGACCGCAGCCTACAATGAGACAATATTCAACTTTTCCTAACTGGTTCAAGAATAAATAAATAATTTGATGACAACATGTTGTGCATTACTATTTCTTGTGATATTTGGAGCATGGAAAAAATTACACTGTGCACTGTCAATCTTCTACAAATGAAAAATAACTATTAACAGGCTGGGTCTATCTGAAAAGACATGGCAGTGTAACATTGGTATACCTCAACATTAAGTCTCTACTGGGATCCTTTGTTTTCCCCTTTCAATTAGGTCCATCCTTTTCTACAAGGCATTACATTCAACAACTCAGCTGGAGAAAAATTGTTTTTTAATGATAAGTGGGAAATGGGAGGTGGATTCGATATAATGAACTTAGTAACATTCCCCAACAAGTCATTCAAAAGGGTGAACATTGGAAGGGTAAATCTCAACACACCTGGAGGGCAAGAATTCATCCTTCATGAGAATATGATTGTATGGCAAATCAGTTTTAACCAGGTATGGATTCCAATGTCTTTTAAAAAGCAACTTCTTGTTCTAGATGTGGGGTTCAGAGAAAGGCGCTCTCTCTCTCTCTCTCTCTCTCTCGCGGACAGAGGCTCTCTCTCTCTCTCTCTCTCTCTCTCTCTCTCTCTCTCTCTCTCTCTCTGGTTCTGTTCATGTTTGATAAGACTCAGTGATCAAGACAGGTCACTATTTTGCATTTCAACACTTACAAGAAAGGTTTCATTAAAACGAGGAGGGTCACTAATTTTTATAACATTTTAAAACAATTTCATATTTTTCCACAGCCAAAAAAATTATCCATGCCTTCATTAGAAATTGGAAGACTTATATAGTCCCCAGGATGAGGCTTAGCTGAGTAGCTTCTTCTTCTTTGTCATCCCCTTCTTGGGGGGAGTATTACCTAATAGTTCTGAGTGTAATGTTCACTCTCCTTCTATTTTAATTGTGCCACTGAACAATAAAATAATATCTTATTTCTCCTGCATTAAGCCACCTTCCTATTTTTGGATAGGGTGTCCCCATTTCTGTGTGCAATGATTACTGCTACCCTGGCTATCAGAAGAAAAAGAAGGAAGGGGCGACATTTTGTTGCTATAATTGTGCACCATGTCCGGAAGGGAAGATTTCAAACCAGAAGGGTAGGTGATGTAGTGAACCAGCATTCTGGGTTGATGCATTTTCCACATGTTAATTTAATAAAATCCCATGGATAGCCCAGGATAGCCCCATCTCATCAGAATCTCAGAAGCTGAGCAGGGTTGGCCCTAGCTAGTATTTGGATTAGAGAACTCCAAGGAGACCAGGGTTGTGACATGGAGGCAGCCAATGGCAAACCAGCTCTGAACATCTTTTGTCTCGAAAAACTTATAGGGTTGTCATAAGTCTCCTGTGATTTCCACCACCAACTTACCAAAAAATTGTGTCACTATTTTGTGGAACTGTGGTTGGTATCATTTGTATCTCAGAAGAGTTGTGCTGCCACCATGGAAAATACCCTCTCTCTAGTGACCATCACTTGTTCTTTAAAGGTGCACTCGAAGCAGGGCCCCTACAGGATATCTTAACTGATGATAAGCAGACAGAGTTGGAAGCTGAGTGTTGTCCATTACATATCCTATTCCAGAATGTTCAGGGGTTTAAAAGTACTGACCGCTACTTTCACATATGCCCATAAATGGAAAGCAAATAAGCATCCAGTGGCATTCATTTAGACCTAGAGAGAAATATTATTGGCCACTTGTTCCAGTAGGGAATTTTGCAGCATTGCTTAACACCAACTGAAACATAAACAACATCATTAGAAGCATTCAGATGTAGAATTTAGAGCCCTAGTCAAACCGGGGGGTGCTTAGAACATGAATTCTTATGCCTGTCCAACAAATTAGGGTTGCCATCTCCCAATGGGGGGAAAAGAACAGAAAATAAATGGCTTTCAGCTGGTGGCATAACATCACTTTTGGGAAACCCCAGAAGTGATGACACACCTCTCTAGGAATTGGCCAGAATTAGCAGTTCCTAGAGAGGATGGACATAGCTTCTGGAGAAAACCTGGAAGTGATGTCCATACTCTCTAGGAATCACTAAAAACTTGATTGTTTTTCCATAGAGTTTTTGCCAATTCCTAGAGAGGCATGATGTCACTTCTGGGTCTTTCAGGTCTTCCCTTTGGCTGATGGCTACCCCAGTGTCCCTGCCCCCGATCTTTCATCCATTGCCAGGCTGTGCCAGACACCCCTATTCTCTCCAAATTTCTAGATGAGGCTTTCCAGCAAACCATGTAAACACAAAATAGCATAGAGAAAAAAGCAGGAACCCTGTGGGACTCTCCAAGCAAAGTGTCAGTGATCTGATCTAGTGTCCATCAGCATCAATTTCTCATCTGGTCAACTGGCCCCTGGGATATGTAGCACAGGGCTGCATTAATCCTGGATCTCATCACATCCATCTTAGTCAGAATTGTATCTTAAAGGGCACTGAAAGATATGGGTCGAGTTACTACATCTCATTCAAACAACCTTGGAGGTGTTGCCCCACCACAGACTAGAGCATCAGGATATTGGTATTTGTCAATTACCAACAGTTGTTGACATCTACTGTGATTCACAGCCTCAAGGTGATGTGAACTACTGCTGATTTTAAGGATGTATTAACTAATCTCTGGAAAGATCTGGGCAATCTCCTATGCATGACAGTGCAATTCTAAACAAACTTACTTCCTTCTAAAAGGATTGCAGTCAATGTACTCAGAAGGGTATAACTCTGTTTAGGATTTCACAATAAGTGTAATAAGGCAAAGCTCAAGCATTATTATTAGAAATAGCAGTTTTCCCAGCAGTTGAACTCTGGACTTGGCTTGGGTGGTGATTGGAGGCAAGTATAAACCACAGAATTGCATATTCTGAACTAACAACAGTTTCAGCAGCATCATGAAACACCTGACATTTTCCCAGCTACCCCAAGTAGCTGCAATATTGAACATTCTGCTTTAAAAGACAAGTTAACATAAGCAGAGTCCTGTGCAGTTATATGTTTCTTTATGGAAAAAAAAATGCCCTAGTTGCTTACAGAGACCGAAAACCACATTGACATTCTTTTACAGTTGCTCACATGAATAAAGGATATACAAGAAATCACTAAAATCAATACAGCTCAATAGTAATGTTAATATCACCGGTAATCATAGTAATAATTAACAGCAGGAGTGAAAATATTCAACTTGCTATTCAGAAAACAGAGAATAAGCAGTACAAAATTAACACGAGTAACATTTACTGCATTGCTCACACCTCAAAATGAGCAATAGTGATCAGATGTAAGATGTGCATTTATTGCTGATATGATTCCCCCACACACACCTTCTTCCTTCCAGACATGGATGACTGCATCAAATGCCCACAATCTCAATATCCCAGCAAGGACCAAGATGGGTGCATTCTTAAGTCAATAACCTTCCTGTCCTTTGAAGAAACTTTAGGATTCAGCTTGGCTTCGTTTGCTGTTTCTTTCTCCCTGTTCACAGCTGTGGTACTAATAATTTTCATTAAACACAGAGATACTCCCATAGTAAAAGCCAACAACCGGAATATCACCTACATTCTTCTGATTGCTCTCCTGCTCTGCTTCCTTTCTTCGTTATTGTTCCTCGGAAGACCGAGGAAGGAGACCTGCTTATTTCGGCAATCAGCTTTTGCCCTCATCTTCTCAGGGGCTGTTTCTTGTGTGTTGGCCAAAACCGTCACTGTGATTGTGGCTTTCATGGCCACCCAGCCAGGATCCTGCACGAGGAGGTGGGCAGGGAAGACTCTGACCAACTCCATTGTCATTTCCTGCTCTCTCGTTCAAGCTGCAATTTGCCTGCTGTGGTTGGGAGCCTCTCCCCCATTCCCAGATTTCGACTCGCAGTCGCTGAAGGAAGAAATTGTGGCAGAATGTAACGAAGGCTCCGTTCCTTTCTTTTATGTTGTCCTCAGCTACCTAGGACTTCTGTCCCTCATCAGCTTGATTGTGGCCTTCTTTGCCAGGAAGTTGCCGGACACTTTTAATGAAGCCAAGTTCATCACTTTCAGTATGCTCATCTTTTGCAGTGTCTGGTTGTCTTTTATTCCAGCCTATCTGAGCACAAAAGGGAAATCCACGGTAGCCATGGAGATCTTCTGCATCTTGGTCTCCAGCACTGGGTTACTGGGCTGTATCTTTGTTCCCAAGTGCTACATTATTGTGCTTAGGCCTGAGCTGAACAGGAGAGGGGCATGGCTCAGTGGAAGAACATCTTCTTGTTGTGCAAGGGGTCCCAGGTCCAATCCAGTTAAAAAGAACCAGGCAGCAGGTGATGTGGAAGACCCCACCTGAGACCCTTGAGAGCTGCTGCCAGTCTAAGTAGACAATGTTGATCTTGATGGACCAGTGGTCTGATTCAGTATTAGGCAGCTTCATGTGTGAAAGATGAATTAATAAGGAGAAGGAACCAAAGGGGTTAGGATTCCTATTATTTGTAACTAGGGACTATGGTTTAGTTGAATATGGAATATGGATATATATGGTAGAATGACAGAAAGTCTACTGCATGGGGGTGGCTGTGAGGTAAAAGGGGATCTTATACTGTAAAATCTGAAGAAGTGTGTGTGCACAAAAAAGCTAATACCAGGAATAAAAGGTTGTTGGTCTTAGAGGTGCCACTTGACTCAAACTTTGCTCTGTAAAATAAACATTTTTTTTTGTAAACATGAATAGAGTTTATTTATTTATATGTATAACAGTGTTATGGTTTCTGTATGGTTAATAAATATAATGGCTTCAGATATGTGCATAAGTCTAATGATTCTTTAAATAGGCCTAGCTACACAGCTTTATCTTAGAGCACAGACGCATACATTTAAAACTCTGCATGAAAACATAGGAATAAAACACATACAAAAGGTTCACATCACAGAGGGTAAAACTGAGGCAGGTCCCAGAGTACCACATACAATCACATGGCTGTCAAATGAATAGTGGCACATGACATCATTTGCCATCACTGGGTTATGCTATCTTTTCAACAGTTGGGTGTCTGCATGGTACTTTGGGAGTGTCTCCATCTTCAACCTCCAGAAAGGGCCTCTAATCTCTCCCCCTTTCAACAGCACCCAGGCCGGAGGGAGTGACTGTAGTTTTCCCAGAGAGACACCATGTGAGCAGCCCTATTCACAGTTCCACGTTCACGGCAGAAAGCTTGCACAGTGACACTTTTCTATTTTTTCTCTTTTGATGTCCAATTGGGAAATAGAGGCTACAACCCTTTACTGATTGTAGACACAAGATTGCACCTTTTATCTCTTTCCCATTCTCGTTCTCTGACATTTGAGAATTCCTCACTCAGACAATGACCCTCAAGCAAATACGGCCACCACCTTTGCAGTATCATAAGTTCAATACCAAGCAATCTAGGGATTTGATTTGCTGTTGATTGGTATAGAAACTTACCTTCTGGGAAACACCTCAGAGGGGATCTAATGATGTGATTAGCAATTAGTATGCCACGATTAGCCATTATCAGCATTCCTATTGGACTTTTCTTCCCTCTATTCAGCCCTCCATCCTGTTTCTCATAATATTCCATACCACCCTCACCAAGAAGTTATTTTATTTAAATGAAAAAGGACCACTAAAGAAAAAAAGAAAAAAAGAAAAAAAGAACTTTCTTCTACATAGAAGTTGTTCGCAAGAGCTGAAGTTTTATCCGGACAGCACATTTATTATTTGTTTGTGAGAAAAGGATGTTTTGGAGAGAAAATCAATCCCAGATGCCATTTTGAAGCATTGAAAGAACCTCCTACAGAGCTTCACACAGTCTTCACACACAAAAATCTCCTTCAGAGCTTCACACAGTCTCCAAACGGAGCACATGGACATGGTTTGCTGTTTTTCAGTGCAGGACATGAGAACATTAAAACATTTCAGCCATTAAAAGCAACATCTAAAAGTATAAAATAATTCAATTAAAGCACATAAACTTACAACACCAGAACCAGGGAGGATTGTGAATACTCATTATTGAGGGTATGCCAAATGAAACAAAACAAAAATACTGCACCCACTGGTGGAAATGACCAATTGAAAGAAACAGACAGAACTCTCTTGTGAGGAAGTTCAAAAGTTTTGGTGCCATGACCAAGAAAGCTCTTTCTTTGGTAGCCACCCATCTAGGCTCGGTTGACAGGGGCACCAGTAACAGGGCCTCCAAAGATGACTCAACTGAATGGGTAGCTTCATACAGGAGAAAGTGGTCCTTATTTTCAAAGATACAATAAATGTTGGCAGACAACCTTCTCTAAAAGACAGCTGATGTTAGCACTGACTAACCCATGCAATACGCAATTACAATGCAATGTTGGGTATATTTTTAACGTTAGGTATATTTTAAAATATTTATTTATGTTATTCATATTGAAGGTACAGTCTCAGTTCACATGGTGTGATGGAACTCTCCAAGAGACCAAGAGTGCATCTGTAGCCAAGGATGAACACTTACCCCCAGATCCTTCTGCAACACAGAGGTGTTCTTGGACATACCATGGAATCTGCAAAGGACTCAGTCCAGCTAGGCCATTTGGAAATCATTGCACTCTGGCAACAGGCAAACAGTTAATAGTAATGCAAGTAATACAATGAGTTGGACCCAAAATTCAGTTTCAGTCATTGGAAGACTTTTTCAATTGATGGAATCAAATCTTTCTGCTACCACATTGCCACTGCATCCTGCTTATTTCCCATAGGAGAAGCATTTGGGGGGGGGATCAGTGGGCTGCCGTGGGAGGAGGAGGAGGGAAAGTTTTAGCACAGGGATGGAAATGTCCTCCCTTAATGACAAGTTTCATCAGGATCCAGCCCAATATTTCCATTTGATCCAGCAGTGTTTCAGCAAAGCCAAAGACACACTTGCGTACTGCCATTTTCTGTATCCATTCTGCCCCAGTGTAATGTATCTTTTCCACCTCTTTGTCTTGTCAGGGTTTTCCTGTTCCTTTAATAATGGCAGTGAATTTTACCAAGGCATCTTTCCAGGCTTGCTGGACCTGTTTGTTCCTCAAGCAGTATATGAAGGGGTTGAGCAAAGGGGATACCATGGTGTTGAGGATGGCCACCATTTTGCCAAGCTCTAATCTGCTGTTCTGGGTTGGTTTTATATATAGGAATATACAGCTCCCGTAGGTGATGGAGACCACAATGAAGTGAGAGGCACAGGTAGAGAAGGTCTTCTGTCTCCCTGTAGCAGAAGGGATACGTAAGACAGTTTTGATGATATTGATGTAGGATACCACCGTAATGCTCAAGCTGCCCAGGACAGAAAACACGGCTGTAACAAATCCCAGGAACCTTAGCAGCCGTGTGTCACCACAAAGGATTTTGATCAAAGGTGTGTTGTCACAGAAGAAATGGTTAAGGATATTTGGACCACACATGGGAATCTGGAGGAAAAGTAATGATGGACCAATGATTAGGAGAAAACTGCCGAGCCAAGAAATCAGAACCAGAGTAGTACAGATACGATTGTTCATGATGGTTGGATAGTGCAAGGGACTGCAAATGGCCGCATATCGATCAAACGACATAACAGCTAAGAGGAAGAACTCAGAGGTGCCTAGTTGGAAGTACAAGAAAGATTGTAACATGCAACCAAGATACGAAATCTTCTTATTTCCCGTTGCCAGCTGAGTCAAAGTTTGGGGAACAATAGCCGTGGTGAAGCCGATTTCTATGAGTGAGAAATTCCAAAGAAAAAAATACATTGGGGTATGTAGTCGGTGATCGATATGAGAAATGGTGATAATGGCAGTGTTTCCAGCGATCGTCAGGAGGTACGAAAATAACAGGATGGTGAACAACAACAGCTGCAGTTCACGAATGTCAGTGAATCCCTGAAGTATGAATTCACTCATTGTGGTTTCATTGCATTTCATGTTTGCTCTAGATAAGGTATAAAAAGTGGACGAAAATGATTGACATTAACATTTGTAGTAGTTTGTCAATAAATTCCAGCCTCTATGTAACCATGACATTAAAAATAGCCAGATTTCAGTCCCATAGCTTGTTTGACACCAGCAAGGTTTGAGGGTGAAAGATTTCACACCTGAAAGCTCAAAAACCTCATATTGTATTGATCTCTAATGTGCTACAGGACTTGACTAGCTTTCCAACTGCAGACCAATCCAGCTACCCTCCGATTTAACATGTGGTTACAGAAGAACTCACCCAAAAAACTCAAAATAGGTGGGACGTTGGATGGACAATGCGACCTGGCTAGTGACTTCCCTTGATTTAAAGCACTAAAGGGGGAGTCTGTTTATAAGAAACAAGCACATGGGGTCAAGGAACTTCATTCCAAATCCTCACACAAAAAGTGCTCAAACCCACTAGCACATCTAAAAATAAAACCAGCTGTTTAAAGTTCATTGTTCAAAGTCACACATTTCCAACGTCCCTTGCCAAACACACGTGCAGTTCTCTTGTTCAGTTAGTATTGTCCCAAGTGGTGTTTCCCTGTAATGCCTACCTAGAATCTTTTCCTTAAATGTTAAGGTGTGATTATCTAGAGCCTTCTGCTTAGAACACCCGGGACACCCCCCCTTTTTATGCTGGGATTCTGATATAATGATTCTATTGATAATATCATTTACATGTAGCTATAACAATAATCACAATGGTATCTAAATACAATGCATTTGTTACTTTTTTGAGGAGCCCTATGACTCAATACTTTAGCTACTATACACTGACCCAACTATCTGTATTGGTTGCTTTGTCAGATCCTGAGCTTGGCCTATAGTGTGAAGATCAAAACAGCCACACAATTGGGCCAGGTATGGAATAGGGAGATTTGTCACACACAAAAAATCCATATATATATATAT